GAGCAGATTGAGCAGGTTGGGAACGATGGGGAGAAAAACCGAGACGATTGGGAGAAGAACCGAGACGATTGGGAGAAGAACCGAGACGATTGGGAGAAGAGCTGGGGCGATAGGAAGAACCAGAACCAGGGGAACTGGAAGATGGAGCAGAACGAAGAGGATCAGTACCATGAGAAGAAGGAGGACCATGAGGAGAAGGACAGAGGGAATTGGGGCGATGGGGAGCAGGTTGAGAAGAATCGGGACAAGGATGAGGAGAATTGGGACGATTGACATTAGAAGTTTCTTCGGAAGAGGTAACCTTTATGATGTGGGTATTAGCAAAACCAGTCGGTGATTCTCAAGGTGAAGAACGAACCAGCTCGAAAAAATCCCCTTGAGCGATCATTGACGTAGCGATCATAAAATTCTTGTTGAACTTGCTCGCATGTTCGTCCCACAATCTTTGCATCTCCCGATTCTTCCATAGTTCTTCATCTGTTCCCACTGTTGCCAAATCATCAGGTCGGCCCCAAGTGCCTTCAAAGGCATTGGCGGCTGGCGGGCCTTTGCTCAAGCCAACAAGTGGCGCGCCATAACTACTGATTTCTGTCCCAGATGCGTTGAGATGTCAAAACGCGGACAAAACCCAGCAAGTTGAAGTACTTACGGCTATTCGCATTTACCTTCCACCCAAAACATGGCGCGTCCTCGGGACACTCTGGCAGTCCAGTCATCGTGAAACAAAGCATTTTCCGGCGACTCAGATCTTGTTCATATGAATTTTCGAAATTTACTCTTACTCTGTTGTCTTTGAGTTTGTTGAAGATATTCTTGTTTTTAAGGAATTGGGAGAAGCCCCCGCTGTAAACCCCCCTCGGCAAGCTAAATTTTAGACCTGTTCTGCCATCAATGAAGGCCACGACGACCTTTATGATGTGGGTATTACTATTAGCTATGGTGGCGAAAACAGGAAAACGGATTTTTATATTGGCTGACTATGAGCAACACTTACCGCTGGGGGTCGACGTGCCAGTGCTAGTGACGACCCGACTGATGTTGGCAGAGTATACACAGCAAGTATGGAGCTTGAGATAAGCGTAAAGAGAAGAGGAACGAAGCGCATCTTCGAGAATTATATAGAGCAGAATTACAGCGAACACAGATTGACCGGCAAGTTGTGTTCGAGTGAGGAGGGACTGAACCAGCAGAATAAATTAAAATATTTCCTTCCACGTCGCTTGTTATAAGGATCTAGCGTAGCCCTGATTGATCAAAAGGAGACTTGTACATATAGCAAAGCGAGCATCGCAACTTGCGGGCTCCGTCCGAGACACTGGAATTTGGTAGTGTGGGCTAGTGTGGGCTACGTGCGTGCGGCGGTCTGTGGTATACGGGCAAACTGCGAATTTTCCTAGAAGCTAGGGAACAGATGATATTTATCATGGGATCTAAGTCTGTTTTGAGAAGGTACATAACTCCTGCTGCAGTTTGGTTGTTGCTCCAGCCAATGAGCCATTGCTTACCTAATACTGCAGCCGTCCAGGACACCCAAGTCCGGATGGACAAGTGCCACCATCAGGAGCAAATATCGGCCAATAGGAAAGGCGTCCGCCTGCTGGGAACCGGTTTCTTTTGGGTTTCTTCAGTGCACACGACTGAAAGGAATGAAGAACCGACGTGGTCGCATCGAGATTCGAAGAACAATGGGCTCTAGAACTGCTCTCGACATTGAATATCGAGTACTTCGTTGGTAGCGAGGGACTCGGAACGGCCGAGGATGGTTTTCAAATAGGTCTGATTCTTCCAAGTGCGTCTCACGCAGTAACTCCAGCAAATTCTCGTCAAGGCAAAATGAGGCCGGTCACTATGTAGTGGCTCTCATAGTAAGGTCAGTGAATACTCCTCAGACTCCCATTAACTTCAACAGATAGGCTGAGATGACTGTACTAGCGCTCAATTAGTAGTAATTTTCTTTCACGTTATGGGCTAGTGGTACTCCTCGGACTCCCCTTACCTTGGTCTTTCAAATACCCCAACGCACTCGGCTAGCTGGATTTCATTGACGGGACGGAACGGTCACGGAGAACCAGTGTTCATCATGATGCATCACCGTGTTTCTCCTGGTGACGGAGCGAGTCTCCGTGTTTTCAGTTGGTTTCGGGAGAGGTTTTCAGGTCGATGATTGATTGTCACTTGCAAGAATACGAGTCAAACGACATGGGTTTGTGAGATTGGGAAATAGTGGGACATATAAATATCGCAAGAGTTCATTGACTCTCGTTTTCTGCTTTCGAATTTATATCTTTTTCAGAAATGGGTGCATTTGACGATTCACTGGGTGTCGTTTCAGTTGCGTATGTTCTTGCTGCGATGTAAGTCTTCTATGGATAGTCGATGGGTAATCCTTATTCAAATGCATAATTGAACCCTTCCAGGCTTTTTGGGATGTTGAACATCCAAAGCTTTAGATATTTTGAGGGTTTTAGTAAGGATCGCTTGACGATAAAATTACTAGTAAGTATCATAAGTACTTAACTATATGCAAGCCTTAAACCTCGAAGATCTCACAAGCATTTTCTGCGTTAGGTTGGCGGCGTTTGGTACGGATTCGAACTTCATCTTCGGACGGTGCATCACTTAATTCAGGTCACATAGGATACTTAACGTTCTTCAAATGGTTTTCATTGGGCACTCATTGTACCATTGGATGATATCGAACTTTGGAAATCCAGCTGCTTTTAACAGTTCTATTTGGTAAAATATCCAGTTCGTAATCGCATCCCTTATCCTGGTTAAACTTCAATCCTAGGAGCTTTGATGTACGCGCGGCTTGGTGTTCGACTGCTACATGAGTATCTTTTCATGCTAAGTAATAATTCGCAGGTTGGAATTCTCTTCACGGTAATGAACTCGAAGTACAATTCTTTGAGTAATTTGAATTCTCAAGGCCATGCAGAACATTATAGTGCTTGCTGTTGAACTGTGAGTTACAACGATAAAAGCGATTTAAAAGTTCCCCTCGAATTGACATTGGCTTTTTGCACAAGGTTTTTTGCGTTCCGGGTTTTGACATGTAGGTATTAGATCAACCCCCACTCTCCAAACGAAGGTGAAACCTACGATTTCATAGTGAGCAAGAATAAATGGTTATCCGGTATCATAGTGCGTATTATTATTCTTTAAATTGAAAATTGAAATGGCCGAGCTCTAAATTTTTCTTCAGGCCATTTTATCAGTGTGTTATTGGGGTGAGTATAAATTGGTGCATTTTTGTACAGATATCTCACTTATTTGATAGGGTTCGAGCTCGGTGAGGGTGGACAGTCAATATCGATACATGAAGCTCATGGCGTTTTTCCACTCTAGCGAGCTTTGTCAGAAAGCTAGTGTTCATGCCACTTTCTTCGCTGATCGACATACTGACTCTGTTTTGTGAAGGTTCCAACTAGGCAAAATCTCCCTATTTTTCCGATTCGAGGTGTTTATGAGCACAGTGGCTTGATGGCTCGGATTTGGTGCTAACGATTTCTTCTGGCAGTGGATTGCATGCACAGGCTTGGCTTGCGCGGCAGCAGCGGACCTTTTGATTGCAGGTTCGCTCACCTTTTATCTTCGCCAAGGTCGTACAGGCGTCCGCAAGTAAGCTCGCATTTTCTCATGAACTTTCGAGGCCCTGGGCTGACCCACAAGTTAGGACCGATTCAGTAATCAACAAGCTGATGATGTATGCAATAAATACCGGTTTGCTTACCTCGTAAGCTTGTGCACTGTGATTCGGAGATGAAATTTTGACTATACTCTTAGAATATTCGCGGTTATCGATATGATCTGCGTGCGTACATCGATAAAACCTTCGATTTACTGACTTGACCGAAAGTACTTTTTGGCTCGCCTTCAGTTCCTTACGATGCCGCACAATCTCATCCATGATGCGATGAATATTATGGTTGGGAAGCTGTACACGATCTCATTACTGGCTTCGTTGAATGTTCGAGCCAATCTTCGTTCTTCCTTGAACGCTGAATCAACGGGCTGTAATATGTCGAATTTTAATGCACCAGAAGCTTCCAGGTCTGGTGCCGCGGCGGGGGCCTCCCCGCCTATCTTTGCTGTTGTATGGTTCCACGCTTAGTGCATTTACGCGCGAGCTAATCATTTTATAGGTGGGAGCTGGATCTGAACTCGCAGGGGTAGAAATCCCTAAATACTTTGATTTTGATCGTTCGTCCTCGACGATGCCAATGGTCAAATTGAATGAGAGTAAAATTAGTCGTTGTATAACTCAAGTATAACTACTTAGGATGAGTAGCAACAACCCTCTTTTCCTCACTAACATATCTATCATCCGCTATGGCGTAATATACCACTACTACTACTAGTACTAAACTCGAAAACCTCCAACAATGGTGACGGTATAATTAAGGCCGGTAAGCGTTTCGGGCAAAAAATACTACTACGGTGGGTGTCGTAGTATGCCATGCTCGTCAATGCCAGTGGAAAGGTAGAGGAGAACAAGTTGGACTGCTCAAAATATTGAGAAAACGGTGTTCATGAACGAACGTATGCAAAGCGAAATTCAAATTTCGTTTCCAAGTTTGCTCTAGCGCATGATATTGACTGAATGCTCACAGCGTTCACACTTGATCGATGGTTGGTAGAGTTGTAGCGTTTTGAGTCAATATTATTGGCATCATTTTGCTCTAGCTACGACCATGGCGTTTGAATTCACAGAACACGAGGAGAAGAATAGAGTGTATTTGGAACCCCCTGGCAATGTTGCGTGGAAGTATTATCGGCGTCGTTTTGCTCTAGCTACGATCAGTGACGTGGCGCAGAGGACACGATGGCTGGGGAGTGAACAGTGACGGGAGAATGAGAAAAAATTCTGTCTTTGTTCCACGCATGTACTTCCATAGATAGAGGTTGTCTACCTCAAACGAATTCGTACAGAAACGACGCGCAACGAGGAAGTCAACGATAAGCTCAGCTCACTGAGAGAAAAAGAATATATCATCTTATTCCAATGCGGGGAATCGAACCCCGGGCTGCTGTGCTCATTCAGGTTCAGCTAAATGAAAGACAGCAATGTTAGCCACTACACCACATTGGAAGTGCTAAGGACCTGTATGTCATGGTCTAGAGACATCATCGGCGCCTATTACGGAGCCGTTTTTGACATTGAATCTTTGTCTCGCTCCGCCATGGTCAACACAACGACAAAAACATTCGACACTGCTCATGGCCGCATTCTGTGCATTGCGGACATCCGCGGTCGTCTTTCAGCCATCAACGACCTTGCACGCGAAGTCAACGCAGTCGCAGTCATCCACACAGGAGACTTTGGTTTCTTTGAAGCAAATTCGCTCGAAAGAATCAACGACAGGACTCTCAGGCATCTCACAATGTACTCTCCACTCGTCGCAAGCGCACAAAGAACACATTTGCTCCAGCAGGGCACTCCGCTGCGCAATTTAGTCGATATTTCTATATTGACTGAATTTCCTCTCTTGCTTTCGGGGAATCTGAGGCTCAACGTGCCAGTATATACCGTCTGGGGTGCTTGCGAAGATGTGCTTGTTATGGAAAAGTTTAGGGCAAAGACGTACGAGGTGCAGAATTTGCATATCCTTGACGAGGCGACCACGCATCTACTCGACCTTGGCGGAGTTAAACTTCGTTTGCTGGGTCTCGGAGGGGCCGTAGTGCCTCACAAAATGTTTGACAATGGAGACGGAAATGCGACGATTGCCGGCGGCCAAGGCACAATGTGGACGACTACCCTCCAGCTCGGTGAACTCGTTGACACCGCGCAGCGCGTACATGATCCTTCCGAAACACGCTTACTCATCACACATGCCAGCCCAGGACGCGAGGGTCTTATCGCGCAGCTCGCTTTGGTCTGCAAAGCTGACCTTACTATCAGCGCAGGCTTGCATTTCCGCTATTCTACCTCCTGGAATGAATTCAGCGTGTTGGCCGACTACGAGGCATTCCGTAGAAAGCTTTTGCTTGGAAAAGAGGCGTTTGATAAGGTCTGGGAAAGTGTAAAGACCCAGGTCGACCAGGTTGTGGATGAAAATCAACGAGTATTGCTGGACAAGGCGCTTAATGTCGTCGAGAGAATACCTCCTCCTCCAGTGGGCTCTAGTGGTGCTCCTACCGGCATGACTGCCGCAAAGGAGGCTCTAGCAGCTCAGGATGAACCTGCGTGGAAAAATTGCTGGAACTGGAACCTTTGTGATGCTGCCTATGGGTCTCTGATTCTGGACGTAAGAGAGGGCAGAGTCAGCGCTGAACTAAAAAGCCAAGGTTGGCACATCACATCAAATCGATCTTTTCCATAACCATCTCACTTTATTTTACAGGCTTCAACTACGCGTATCGTCGCTCTGCCACCGTTCCTGCCACTCCCACGTCTACCGCGCCTGCGACTAGCAAGCAATTTGCACCTCCCTCGAAATCCGCTACGCCTGCACCCAAGGGCGCATCGCCCGTACCTTCTGGTAGTGCTTCCAAACCCATGACACCTGCTCCTCATCCCGCTGCTCCTTCTGTTCCTGCCAGCTCTACCAAATCTACTCCAGCTCCACCGTCAGACCGTGCAGTTCCTCCCCATCTCGCGGCAAAAGCAGCAGGCGCAACTGTCGCAATCAACCCATCGTCAAAACCATCCAGCGGGGTAGCCACTCCTTCCTCCGAGTCCAAAGAGAGCCAGAAAGAAAAAGACCTCAAATCTGAAAAGGACGGCGGATCAGCGAAAGATAAAGATGCAGCGAAGCTGGAGAAAGCCGAACGGGAGAAACAGAAGAAGAAGGAAAAGAAGGAGCGGAAGGAGAAGGAAAGAGCTGCTGGAGGTGAGATCCTTATGCATCATCAGTACTGAATTGAATCACTCACGTACCAGATTCCTCCCCAGACGGTTCCATCGTGGCAGCGACCTTGGATGAGTCGAAAAGCCCTATCGAACAGCTCAAATCGCCCGCCTCTGTAACTGGGACCCTTAGTGGAGGAACAAGAACACCCAAATCGGCAAAATCTGCTCGAAACCCATGGACTATCTTTATGAGAATGACGGTGCCGACTACAGAGGCTGCTTTGAGAGAGTTTTACGCTGAGGGTGTGGCAGACGGTGGAGGGGTGAGTGTCTCTGAATCCATCGGTTGTACCTTATGTTGACATTTTTTCTTGCAGGTCATCAAAGTCCATTTCCCAAATTCTACTGGCGCAGGCCGCGCACAAAAACTAGCCTACGTCGAGTTTGGGGACGAGGAGACTATGAAACGGGGATTAGAAAGAACTAGCCAGGTATGTCAATTCTTTTAATTCATGCATTATACCCGCGGCTCATACACGTATCTCTCTCCGTGTTAGACTCTGAACGGTGCCATCCCTAACCTTAGCCAAGCAACAGATCGAGAGACGAGAGAAAGGGAACAGCGGGAACGCGCAGCTTCGCATTCGCAGGTATCTGTAGATGGAGTAGCGTCTCCTACTATGGGTTCGCAATCACAACCACACCCACACACGGAGCGCAGCGGGTCTTTCCGTGGCCGTGGACGGGGAGGAGGAGGGTTTGCTTCGAGGGGTTTAGCGGCTGCAGGACTTACCAGAGGAGGAGGAGGAGGAGGAAGTGCAGCTGGTAGAGGTGCTGGGGGTGGGACTGGTGCATAAATTAAAAAAGAGTCGATCGAACTTCCTTTTTTGACTTCAGTATATTCTATCGATTGCATCTGTTTACTTGCTTACTTCGAAGGCTCAGAGACTCTGGCGTTGCGATGCTGATAATTACTACGCTATTTCACTTCAATGATTCCCCTCCTTGCGGTACCCTTAGATTATTTGCGCTTTTTTTTGCGTTTATCCGTTGTTATCTCCCCCGTGGCATATAAGGCCCTTTTACCCTAATACAAGTTCCGAGTATATAGTACCGAGGTATATTGTGGTATATCGTGAGTTGCCCTAGCAATTGAAACCGAAATCTAGGTGATACGCCACATTGCAATACCAGCTCTTTCTTCGTCCACCTCCTTCTTTACTTCCTTGCTATCTTTACTTCGTATGGCGGCGGCGATAAGGAGCATAAGCGCGTCCTTGACCTTTTCCTTCTTGTCGTGCTCTGTCAATTCTACAGGTGTTTCTCCATCAATCCCTGCAATCTCGACTCGCATCCAATCCACACACAGATCCAAGAATTCGAACAACACTGTGACGATACCCTCGAACTTTCCTGACTTGCTGGGGGCTCCTTCGGCGGGTGGGAGCTCCACCTCCCAGAGCTGTGCGAGAGTGAGAGCATCCCATGCGACGAGCGGAGCGCCTACTTTGACGGGAACGACTAGAGCAGGACAGCCGTTGAGAAGGATGTAGTTGATGACACTCTCTTCTGGCCGGGCGGACGTCGCCCAGAATTTTCGATGGGGCTTTATCCCGATGACCAGTAGCACCAGGCGACGGGGGATGGGAGGAGCAGGTAAAGGCGTCAGCTGAGGCTCTGGCGATGGAGTACGCGAGCGCGAGAACACGTTGGAGAGGGAGGGGATTTTCAAGTCTTTGAGATCCGAGAACGAGGGGTAACTCGCAGGTTTTGGTCTCTCTGGCTGTTGAGCGTCGGGAATAGAGGCTTTACAAAGACTGATTACGGATGCCGACTCATTCAGCAGTGTTTCTCCAACGCGGTAATCGCCTGCACCGAGTCATAATAAGCAGTGTTCCATGCGCAACAACAACCATTTGTTCAATCACCTTGGAGGAAAGGACCATGACAAAAGATCACATCAGGTTTCATCGATCGTGGAATGATTGGACGACGGGAGCTAGCGAATAGGTAAGGAGAGAACCAGCCCTTCTCCACCGCCAAGTAGTCTTTTACCGTCGCGAAAAGATCGGTATCCCTAGAAAATGTTATGATAAATTCGGTGAAGTTCGGGGAACGAGAAAAAGACGAGCCTATGCACGCTGCTGCGGAAAAATCCAAGCGCTGCATCTTCTACAGTGTGTCTGAACTTGAGCGTGATAAGCAGTACCTTTACGTGGGTTGTTTCCAATCGATTGGAATAGATCGGTATAGCTGCCTGCAGTCCATGTTCGATGACCAGATCGTTCGCAGCCTTGGTCGTCAGCTCGAACCCGGCATGAAGGCCAAGCTCAACAAGAATGGTATCCCCGAAAGATGATACGACTAAATCGCTAACGGGGCCCATAACCGGAGACGCAATAGCCGCGAAACCTCCCTGCGAAAACACCCGATGAGTAGCGTATTGGAAAGATACATTTGATCCAGCCACCAATGCAGTGAATACCAACGATGTCCGCAAGGCTTGTGGGAGCAAAAGGAACTTTTATCGGGTTGCGGGCAGACTTACCGTGGCAGCAATCACAGTATGCACTGCAAGGTCCCGGAATCGAATACACGGTAGTGTTAATGGAGAATGGTCTCCCCACTACACAAAGATCGAAAGTTCAAAATTGTCACTGACGACATCGAGACCAATATGATGGACCCACCGGTGATAGACAAATTACAGTTGTTCCTGCGGCTCTCAAAGATTCGTACGAGGACATGACAATACGCCCGGTCATTGACTGGCCATTGTCATATCAAGAACAGTCAGATTCGGGCAAACAGAATTGGACATACCCCAACCAGTTTCCTGATGATCCAAGGCGCTGCCTTTTCATTCTCAGAAGCCGTCTCGTTAGTCACTGATGACGGGTCTATTGGCCCAAGGGGAGACACAGTGGCGCCGGAGGACATAGTTGCCAATACGCGTATGCTCTGCCAGTTGAAGATGTGAATACCCGATTAGGCATCTCTTGTATCTTTAGCACTTACAGAAAAAGAGATGACCAAATCAGAAATCAAGTTCACAGCAGTACAGAAGAAACCTGTATGGAGAACAGACGCCAATGATTCGCCAATGATCGTCTCAATTTTCACTCTCCTTGCCAACCTTGAACGTAGAACGACCATCACAGTACCATGCAGTGCGAAACTGTTCATTGTTAAACTACATTGCGGATATGATACAACCGGAGGCTCGTTGAGGCCTTGCCCTAAGATACATTTTATTTTTTTCCTAGCTCTACCTCCGTTTCCCAACCCTCGGCGTC